ATATTCAATAGAGGACTTATTTACACTTCTCTTATTTTGATCAGCGACTAATTTAAATTTTTAGGGGCCTAGATGCACCATTTGATTTTTGAATCTCTTGCTTCCCTGATATCCATAGGACTTTTTGACCATACACATGAACAAATCCTCTAGATTTCATTTTTTAAATCTTTTTGGGTGGGGATAGGGGGTAGGGTTGGGTTACTGCTGAAAGATATGGTGGTCTTTGTTGTGGTATTTTCTGCGCTGTCAAGTCCTTTGGCTTTTGGGCTAATATTTATTGAAACCTTTTGTCTGCGAAAAAAGAAAAGTGCAGATTGTTTAAACCATGGTTTAACATATGGTTATCTTTTCAACTCCTTCACTTTACTGCTATATTTCAGGACGCCTCACTTTAAAGTCTTTGGACGTCCATTGTCTCCAGCATTTAAAGCTGAAATGCTTGGGCCCTCAGGAAATTTTGTGTTGAAGGCTTTGAGTTATACACAACCATGGACTGTAGCTCAGGAAACCAGGAAGAAGCAGAGATATTTGGCATAGAAGATTAATAGACATTCAACTGATTATGACTATAATGTGGGGTAATGTAGTTGACCTTGTGAACTATGAATGGGAGGATGAAGACGGTGATGAGGAATCAGATGAACAGCTTTTGTTAATCCTTATAAACAAAACTTGCCTTGAAGAGCTTCTGTAATCATATCTTGCAAAATAGACTTGCCTTAATATCTTGTGTGGTACTGTTATATAAAATAATCTTGCCTTATTATCTTTCTCATCTGGTATTCTGGAGATAAATGTTCTGGTCTGGCAGGAGTATGTAGAGCTTTCTTTAATTTTTTGTTAACTTGTCTTTCGCTTTAATGCTAGCATTACTTAAATATTTATGCAGCACTCCACCAAACATGAACCACTATTTGAGCATTCTTCTAGCCAGTTATATGGCAGGAGGCACTTCTGTCTTTTTCAGTTTTGCTGTATATGACTTTGGGTTTTAGAGAAGACTTACTTGAAGCTTCAGAGTTCATACCATTAATAATTTTGATCTTTGGATGCTGTAACAGAACCGGTTATAAGGAAAATGATTACAATCATACAAAAGCTTCAGTGCTTCACCTGTTTGCCATGCAACATAACCTGCGAAAAATTGTCTAAATTTTATAAACTAACAAATGACAGCAGCGTGATGTATTACTACTCCGAGGGGAAAGTTCATCATCACTCCAGAAGTCGGATAATTTTTCAAACGTTACACCGGTTTGCACTTTAACACAGAAAGTTCAAGTAGATTATTTAACTGACAATGAAGCAAAAAATAAAAGTGTTCATGGCGTCTTGGACTTCAGTCTAGAAGGAAGCAACTGCAAACACACAGCAGACTCTCGTCAACAGATCAGCATTCAAAATCAGAATGCCCACAGGATAAAGCCCGAAAGGTGTCTAGGGAGTCTCATCAAGCAAAATAGGATGAGTAACATTGGTCAATATAAGAATAATACTTGGGATCTAGAACTAGAGCATGTCGTCCCATGCTTTATCACCTCATTTAATGCAAGGGGGGTTAAACACTCCATTGTGATTAAATGAACCTAAAACCCATCTCTTCATCTTTGGGCAAATTAAAAGAAATAAACAGCTTGCTTCAT